TACATTAAAACAGAGATGTAGAAATCCCGGGAACTCTGTGTGCTCCCTACATATGACAGCTGCCTCCTAACTTTTGAGGTTTTGTCTAGTTTAGTCTTGGAGCTGGATAAGTATCTGTACTTGTACCGAGTATGGTACCTGGTATCTGAACATCCCTACACTATATCTTTCCTTCTCCTGCCTAGTTGACTCAGTCCCAGGCCTGCAACCATCAGCATATACAGCACATGCCTTCTGTGAAGCACTCAGGAGCATGTACAAAATGCAATGCACTAAGGAGAAAAGCAGGAGGGAGGATGCGGTCTTTTCTGGTGTTAAGCGCACATTAAATATTACTTTGTTCTAACATGTTTACTTTGTCCTATGCAGTGTGTATAGGACGTGATGACTCATGGATCGTGTAACCTCAGGACGCACATGTGCCCTTGGTCATTAAGTCGCGACCCAAGTTGCACTGCAATGGGGCGCACAGCATTGCAGTACAGAGCGCTCCGATGTGTGCAATAAAACTGTGGGTGGGAGGTGCGTTTGGGGTTCCATTCAAATGAATGGCAACACATCTCCCGCACCAGAATGCGTGGTAGGTGCGATTGCGTGGTACAGTGCGTTAAGAGCACAGGACTATGCGATTAATGCACTGTACTAGTGTGTAGGGCCCTCAAAAACACTGACAGACACACTCTCACACATTCACGGACATTCTCGCACACACACAAAAAGTGTTTTTTTTTTTCCTAAGATCCACCCAGTATCCTTACCTTACGAGAACTGGAGTGGATCCTCAGCCTGGGGTCCAGTGTGGGCTGCTGTGCTGTGACCGAGCTCCATCCATATGTGCATTGCTTGCACAGCTCCCTTGCGCGCCCTGTAGAGGTGGCGGGAGCCAGAATTTGACGTCACTACGGTCCAGGCACCTCTACAGGGCACACAAGGGAGCTGTAAGCAATGCACATATGGATGAAGCTCCCTCGCGGCAATAGCCCCATCCCATCCCACCTCAAGCTGTCACTTGGCATCGGGCAGCATGTTTTGAATGGCTGCTTGGTGTGATAACTGACATTGCTGCGCTAGGGGTAGGCTGAGGAGCCTCTCACCAAGAAACGTAGAAGGCACACGGCGAACCACTGAACACGGGGTCGCGAGCCACTTTTGGGTCACGACCCCACTAGTTGAGAACCAAGGATTTACAGGACACCTTAGACTGCTTCAGAGGAGGAGGAGGAGGAGAGACATTCCAGGGACCGGTCTAAGAAGAAGTTGGCTCGGAGCTTTGGGTGAGTATAACTTTTTAATAACCTAGTCAAAAACAAACCGTTAACCCTTGCAGTGCAGGGTAGCCCCACTGCAAGGGTTAATAAAAAGAATTCCTGGAGTTCAGCTTTAAGAACTGGATCTGAATGACAGAAAGCTGTTTTCTTAAGTGGATTTGTTTTTGCTGAACTTATGAAGTGAAACATTTGGAGAGGCTTCACCCTGCACAGAAAATACAATTCCTGCAAGACTTTGCTTGCTAATATAAACAAGAAAGATAGGAAGGGTCAAATAAACAAATGCTTCCCTAACAATGATATAGAAGTGACAACAGCCTCTTCCTCTTTCCCTAACCAGCAAAGAAAATAAAGAAGCGAAAAATATAATGAAAAACACAATAAAAGGGAATGTGGGAGTGCAGCCCATAATAGAGGCATTAAAGCAGATCTCTAGGTAAGCAGCTAAATACACAGATAGAATACAAACACGGGAGCTGTGTCACCTGACAAATTATTTTTATTGTTTATCCAAAACCGATATTTACACAGCTCTGCCACACAGAGTATCTTGCTAGTCGGCCCGGCTGGCTCTCAAAATACCTGAAGAATGCCTACATCCAATCAGAGTGTTCAGGTATTTTGAAAGCCAGCGGGGCCGACTAGTAAGATACTGAAGCCTGGCCCAGTGGGAGATTCCTCCATCCACACAGTGTAGCGTAGATGGAGGAATCTGTTGCACTTTATCCATCTGACCATAAATCTGCAGATAACCTATAGGTGTATGGCCAGCTTTAGGGTTGCACAGATACCAAGCACAGTACTCAGTACAAGTACGAGTACATGTACCGATACTTTGAGCTCCAAGACTACACTAGAGACAAATTCAAAAATTAGGAGGCAGCTGTCATTTGTAAGGAGCACACGGAGCTCCTGGGATTTGTACATCTCTGTTTTAATGTACGATTTTGTTTTTATAAATGTAAATAAAGGGATGCACAGATACCAGTTTTGCAAGTACGAGTACTGGTACTTGCCGAGTACTTACAAGTACTGATACATTTTTGCTTATTGTCATGTGACAGTTTTTCTAAAACAATACAGACTAATGATTTCAGGACAGTGGTGGAGTGCCAGAGCCAGGTCCCAGCTGCAACCGCTACAACCCTGGTAGTTCTCATGAAAATGCCAAGTATCTGTACTGGTACTCGAAAAGTATCTGTGCAACCCTAGCCAGCTTAAAGGAAAACTATGGGGTTAGGGCTTTTGCCCATAGTTCTCCTTAGGGTAACGGGAGGACACAAACTAGCGTCCTCCCGTCACCCTAAGCTCAGTATACCGCGAGCTGCAGCTCGCGGTATACTAAGACGCAGCAGCTGAAGCGGATCCCGACAATTATGTCGGGGTCCGCCCATCTGCATGAGTGACAGCTGGCTCAGCCTATCTAGAGGCATAGCCAGCTGTACCCGCCCCCTCCCCCGTCCGTTCCGCCAGTCAGCGCTGGAGGATCAGAGCGGGGAGGGGGGAGTCCAGTCCCTCCCCTGTCACGGCTCTCTGCCGTGACAGGATCAAGAAGTGAGCGAACGCCGGTATGTGTTCGCTCACTTCCCGATCTACTGAGCCGACCTGTGACAGTCTCATGGTCACAGGTCGGCTAGAACTATGAGGTGAGTGAAAAGCACTCACCTCATAGTTCTCCTTTAAGAGTGACATCAGCATTACGTCCTTTTAATAAATGTAAGGCTGTATATGAATTATTAATAATGCCCCGAGCATTGGCACATTTAGAAACACCCCTACTGGTGGCAGCCTTCGCATCAAATAATAGTTACTGTAACATACCACACAGGATGCAGAGACCGCAGTGCCAGCCTATGTTCAACATCCTTCTAGTCCTGCTTTGAACCCCGGGCATATGCGCAGTTGTGTTGACTTTGATGTAATGCCCACACCCCTTGTAAGGTTACTGATGAGACTTTACAAAGGGGGAGACATAAACATGGGGAAATGTGCATGCATTGCAGAGATCCGTTTGCCCAGACATTCGCTATAATTAAAGAAATTGTGTAGGTAGGCCCTCACCATTATTAGTGAACCTAAACAAGATTTTACATTCTAGCATTGCATATTCTGTTGTCTTAAAGTGACACTAAACGCAAAAGTTAAATCTAAAAAATGCATTGAAGTACCTTAACTATAAACAACAATGTATCTTATTTGTGTATCGCTCGGCTGTAGATCCTCCAATCATCTCTGAATTGGTGCTGACACTGTCCTTCCTTCTGGAGGGGGGCTACTTTTGTTCCCCATGGTCCCTGTGTGTGTTGTAAAGTAGTCACCACTCACCGCTCAAAGCTCACTCCCATGATGGACTACAATCTCACGTTTAGTTTACTCATTTGTATTGAGATTGTAGTCCATCACGGGATCTATCTTGGAGTGGTGGCTACTTTACAACATACAGGGACCATGGGGAACAAAAGCAGCCACCCTCCAGAAAGAAGGACAGTGTCACCCCCAATTCAGAGATGATTTGAGGATCTACAGCCGAGTGATACACAAATAAGATACATTTCTGTTAATAGTTAGGGCACTTGAATGTATTTTTAAGATTGAACTCCTGAGTTTCGTGTCACTTTAAAGCGACAATAAACTCACTAATCAAATAATAAAATCAAGATCTATTATATAATCGTTTAATAATGAACTAGCTCAATTTTTAATTCTTTACCTTTAAATGCTTTAAAAAACTATTTGTTTCTGTTTCACAACTTCCTGCCAGAGGGTGGCTACTTTTCTTCTCTATGGTCCCAATGGGCGCTGAAAAGTAGCCACCCACTGTGCTCGCTCCCGCTGACATCATAGCTGTATTGCTGTTAGGAAGCAAGGAAGCAGTGGCGCACTCACACTAGAGCAGGTATGGAGGTATAATGAGGAGGTGAAAAGGCGGACCGGCATGGTAGTCTTTGAATAGTGTGGGAGCGCTGCCTTATGGGAGATGCAGTGAAGGAGAGTGGTGCGCTCTCACAGAAATAACATGCACTGTGGGAAGATAGAGGCCCGAAGTCAATTAAAGAACGGAGGAGCAGCAGGAGCGTGGCCAACACCTTTTCTACCGAAAAAAAGCCAAAATTGAAATTTTGAAAACAGAAATAAAAGCGGTATTATGGTAAGCGCTATAAGGAGAGCACCATAAGGGGAAGAAAACGTTTGAATTTTGTGTCAGTTTAATTCTGCATTCTTCTGCATCATGGAACCGTCCGGCATTCACTAAAGCCAAACTAAATAGGTAGAATAGAGTTGGTGGAGCCAAGATCTTGACACTAATAAACACAATTGTTACCATTTCAATTACTATACACAGAGATGTTGATACTGTAAACAATTACAATGCCATCGTTCCATGCTAAGTCCACTTAAAATAAACCTTCCCTAATATAAACATGGGGGCTTCCACTACTGCCAGCTCCTTTTGAATGTTACTTGCCTGCCTTGTATATTGACCCTCCAACTTCAATAGTTTGAGTCACTAATCCAGAACACGCATGCAGGTCATGGAAAGTCTGAGAAGAGTCAGAAGTCCTTATGTGCATAATATTGCTGGGTAAGTGACCAAAAGTAAGAGAATGGGCCTGACAACCAGGCAACGAGCATTTGCAGAAGAGGGTGGCCGCTGTGATCATCTCAGGAAAGGTTCTCTTTAAAAATGGCTGATTTCAATACAAAGCAACTCATAAAAATCTATTATATTACCTTTTAGCACCAGAGGTTCTTTTCCTTCCCTTTTCAGTGACTCCAAAACAGTATGGAGAGGCTGGGAGGGTATAACCCGACTTGGTTCATTGGTATTGTCATCGTAAACGATGATCTCTTTGGAAAATATCCTCTTGAACGAGTCCTTGCCTTCCCTGCATGATATTAAATCCAACACCGTGATTTTGCCCTGTTGTAGCCTCCTCCTGCTGATCTTGTCGGAGCAATTAATGTGAACGGCTCCCTGAATATGGCTTTTATTGTACTCCATGAAAGGTCGGCAGTCAATGATGACAGGGCCCTGGTTGGGCAGGTGGGTTTTGCTGCATTTTACTATCTTCTTGGCCAAATCATTAGGATAGATGATCTTAATGTTGGCAAACTGTTTGGTAGTGCTAGGCACAGGGCTGCTAACTCCACCAGATGGGCTTAGACTGGCACTGTTCTCATTGTTGTTGACCATTTGGTTGGTCGAGGAAGCGGTGATGGGTCCGGCAACGCTGCTGGTAAGAGTGGTGCTGCTGACAGCCTGGCTCTGAGTGTCCTTGTCATACGATCCCACACTGCAACAACTGGCACTGCTACATCCGCAACCCAAAGAGCGTGCAGAGCCGTTGGAAGAGGGCATATACGTCAGATTGGCCGCGTTTAAGGAGACAACACTTGCGCTGAGTAGGGACTTGCAGCTGCCACTCACTGTGGCGCAATCAAGGAAGGAAGAGTCTATGCAGAGGTTAAGTTCTTGCGGTCTCACGGGTCTGGTTAATGCCACAATAACCCTATCGTCTAAGGGAGATGGAGGCATGAGTAACCCCAGAGGACTGCCAAGTCAAGTAGAATAGTTGGTCATGGGCTGGAAAACACAGAATCACGTTGTTATTATTATTCATTTATGGAACACCAATACATCCTGAAATTTACAGAGAACATAGGACCATTCCTAACAATCCTGTTCATAAGGAATGTGCTAATAACATCCTTGCCCCACTAAGGGCAAAATGACATCAAAAATAAAAAGAATATACCATACATCTATCCAATACATGCACATTTCCCCAGGTGTATATCGGTTAAAATGCAAGTACAGAAAAATACTCGTTGATCTATCAGAAATCCACCGAGCTCCTAACTTCCTGTTTGCACTGGCAACATAGTGCCATTTGTGCACCGAATTCCCAAGCAGTGTTGTTAGCCTTGCCTGCTGGACTACAGAATTCCCTCTCTATCCCTTTCTATATGCATACATTGATTTCTTTGCCAGCACAACAATGCTGCTGCCTTGACTCCCAGGAGCCTGTCCACAAACTATGTGTAGGGAATATACTCTTGGGAGATGTAGTCCTAGAGGCATGCCTACCTCAACAGGAACTCCCAGCAGATGACCCTGCAAGAATTTTACAAGCCCGATGATGATGTCACAGGGAATAATAAACATAAACAATAATAAACAAAATAATGCTGATCAAGAGGTGGAGAGGAAGGTAAATGAGGGTCATGCCTGGACATACGCTTCTTCTTTTCAAATATTTTATTGTTTTCATCAAGACATATTAGAACATATACATCATAAAACCATATAATAAAATATCATCCGTCTAAAGTGGCATTACTCATTCGGCCCCACATATTTCTTATTCTCTTCTTAATGTATATATAAATACATACAGATAACCTTTAGGAGCAGAAAAGGACATAACCATTGTGTATACTATTAAAAAGGGTATCTTAATATTATATTATTACGTTAATAGACATAATATATTTTACCAGTCATTATTTTAACTGACATACGCTTCTTAATCTAACCTCATTGAAATAATCATACAAACACACTTCCTGACCAATTTAATCAGAGCCCAGTCAGAATCGATTCTGTGCTGCCAGCAGAACCCACACAAATATGGGCAGGGTATACAGACACCATGCATGTAGTGGTGTTATAGTTTAATGGGTAATATCAAAAGTTACCCTTGTAGTGGGGCTCCCCATGGCACTGCAAGGGTTAAACACCCATTTTGGTCTAGAGCAGGGGTGGGCAACTCCGGCCCTCCAGCTGTTGTGGAACTACAAGTCCCACTGCAAGACTGACAGGTACAGGTATGACTCCCAAAGGCAGAAGCGTGATGGGATTTGTAGTTAAAGCACAGCTGGAGGGCCTGAGTTGCCCACCAGTGGGCTAGGGGGAACATACATCTTTTCCCTCGCTCCCGCAGGCTTCCTCGCAGCTGTAGGACCTGTCTCTCCAAATCCGCTCCGTCAGTCGCAGGTACGTTGATGTCATCACATGTAATGCAGGACTAGTAGTCAGGGGCCCGCCACAACCCAGAGCATCCAAGAGGCCAGGAGAACACCGGCTGCCAGGCTGTCGAGTGATAGGTAAAACTGTTGTTTATGTTCCCTCTGGACCACAGCAAGCATTTAAGCCCTGAAGTGTAGGGGGCTCCCCACTGCAAGGGTCACTTATGATTTTAAAAGAGAACCTGAGAAGTTAGAGATAAAAGACCCGTCATGGTTGCTTTAAAGGTGCAGGTGTCAGCAGCTGTCATCCAATCCTGTCTTCACTCCCTGGGGCAGGGACGTGTGGTCTGGGGAGGCAGGTGAGGCAGAGTCTCCCTGCTGTGTAACCTGTCATGGATGGAGTGCTGCCTGTTAATTACATTCAGCTTTTGACAACTATGTTAGGTTACACAGCAGTGGGTTTCCCTGCTGCTGTGTGTAACCCAACCCAGCGAGGTCAGAGCTAGAACAAGCCTCTAACTTGGAGTCAGAGGCTTCAGCTCTGTGGATGGTTTGGACTAATGGCAAAGTACCAGAGAAAATAAAAAAAACCACGGATGTTATCCATCTAGATGCCTCATGGCACATAGAGGCTCCTCTCTGTCTCCTCCCTCCCTCCCTCATCCTACAGGCAGAGCATTTTCCTGGACGGGGGCAGGCTGGGGGAGTGCCTCACTTGCTGCTGACCCCACCACACACCCCGGACCTGAGGAGTCACTGACCCAAAACAAACAAACACTCAGACTGTTCAGGCGTCACTGCCAGTGTTAGAATACAGAAAAGCTGAACAGACAGGAGTTGTGTTGCCTTGTGGGCTATCAAAATATTACAGTGCCCAATCCAGCCTAAAGGTGCCCATTAACCTTACGATTATCGGAGGAAATTTTTCGTCCGATGATGGAATAGTCGTACGATTTTCGTACGGCAGCCCCATCCTGCCCCGATGATCGCAAGATTAATTTAGCCGTAATTAACGAAAAGCACCTGGGCGAAATGCGGTAAATGATTTGCCGTATTTTCGTTAGCGCAAGCTCAGTGTAGATCGTACGTCTTTTGACGGACGGTAACGCCAGCAACCTTACGACAATCGTATGATCTAGCAAAGTTTTCAAACATGCTTGACCGCCAAAAGTCGTACGATTGTACAGTACTGTCGGTCGGACACTGCAATGCACACATACGATTACCGGCCGAAATGTCGATCGCATACGAAAATCGTACGATAATCGTAAGGTGTGTGGGCACCTTAAGGGTCATCCTACATGTTACAATCTGACTCTATGTACAATCAACTTTAGATTGACCAAAACTGTGTAATAAAAGGATCTACCTCATCAATTTGTGTCCAAACAGGAACGGCATTGTACTACATAGTTGTCGGTAGATCTAAAGCACATTGTAACGTGTGCGGTGAGCTGAACAGCAACTGGGATCTCTTGGGACATGCGAGTCTGGGCTTATTTCCTAAACACAAATGTACAAAGACATTCTCAAGCAGGAGTTAAATATCTCTAACAGGATCCAATAGTTCATTCAAGAGCCTGTAAAGGGCATAAGGGGACAAGGTAGTTGACCCACCTCGACCTAACCACTGAACCTTCACATACTCAAATAATTCATCCCCACACAGCTCCCTCCTCATGTATCATTTCCCCCTCTTTCAGATTGTAAGCTCTCAGGGGCAGGGCCCTCCTTACCATCTTGTCTTGAATTGTAATGTCTTCCTTATATTGTAAAGCGCTGCGCAAACTGTTGGCACTATATAAATACTATGTAATCATTTATTATAGAACTGTCCTGAATAATGTTTATCTGAAAAGTTCAATAAAACAAGTGAAACTAGGAAAAAATTAATGAAATGTTGGAATTTATCTACATGACATAACACATTGGGGGTGGTAAGCCTGTAGGGGACCTCAAGTGTGGGCTCTGACATCACTGTAGGGCCCCAGATCACATCCAGAGAATGCAATGCTACAGACAGATGCCAAGGACTGCAGACATGCTACAGGAGGTGGTCAGAGACTGCAGACATGCTTCAAGAGGTGGTCAGAGACTGCAGACATGCTTCAAGAGGTGGTCAGAGACTGCAGACGTGCTTCAAGAGATGGTCAGAGACTGCAGACGTGCTTCAAGAGATGGTCAGAGACTGCAGACGTGCTTCAAGAGATGGTCAGAGACTGCAGACATGCTTCAAGAGATGGTCAGAGACTGCAGACATGCTTCAAGAGATGGTCAGAGACTGCAGACATGCTTCAAGAGATGGTCAGAGACTGCAGACATGCTTCAGGAGATGGACAGAGACTGCAGACATGCTTCAGGAGATGGTCAGAAACTTCAGAAATGCTACAGGAGATTGTCAGAGACTGCAGATGGTCAGAGACTGCAGATATTTTACAGGAGATGGTCAGAGACTGCAGACATGCTTCAGGAGACAGACAGAGACTGCAGACATTCTGCAGTAGATAGTCAGGGACTGCAGACATGCTACAGGAGATAGTCAGGGACTGCAGACATGCTACAGGAGATGGTCAGGGACTGCAGACATGGTACAGGAGATGGACAGAGACTATAAACATGCAACAGTAGATGAGAGAGACCACAAAATGCTAGAAGGGATGGTTAGAGACTGCAAACATGCAACAGGAAGTGGTCAGAGACTGAAGACATGCTACAAGAGTTTGGTAAAGACCAGGGACATGCTTCAGGAGACAGCCATAGACTGGAGACACATTACACGAGGCTGCTAGAGATCACAGCTATCACAGCCCCTTTTACAAATGAAGCATTCCATATCTGTGCTCCCAACAGACCCCTTTAAAAATTCAGTGGCATTGGTGCCACATTTGATATTTGTCTCTCAATATAAATTATAAAACATCATAGCAAGAAAAGAAAAAAACATAAGAGAAAACAGATACACAGAACAGAAACAGTATATAAGATGGTGGAAAATGATATTATTATTACTATTATTATTATTCAGGATGTAAATAAAGCCAACAAAGTCCCTCCAAGAAGCCAGTCCAAGTCATAGATTTCCTGCACTGGCCACAGTAACCACCAAACCACACACTGCTATCTGCGGGGGGCCCGAGTGCCAATGGGCCCCAGGTTGGGCCCCGGACCTGAGATCCATACTTGGTGGCCCAGCAGTTGTATCTCTCGGTATTATTTTACTGGTTTATTATAGAACTGTCCTGTATAATGTTTATCCGAAGGGAGGATAGGAGATAAAAGATGCAAAAGTGAAACACTGGAAGAATTGTGTTTTATCTGAATGACATAACATGCTGGGAGAGGAAGGATTGTTCCATCTCTAGACACGATTGTGTATAGCTTCCACCTGAGCTTAGCGGCCCAGCAGTATTCTCTATCTACAGTATGTATCTATGTATGGATCGATCTCTATATCTATCTATGTATCTATAGATGGATCAATCTCTATATCTATCTATGTATCTATTGATGGATCAATCTCTATATCCATGTATCTATAGATGGATCAATCTCTATATCTATCTATGTATCTATTGATGGATCAATCTCTATATCTATGTATCTATAGATGGATCAATCTCTATATCCATGTATCTATAGATGGATCAATCTCTATATCTATCTATGTATCTATTGATGGATCAATCTCTATATCTATGTATCTATAGATGGATCAATCTCTATATCTATCTATGTATCTATAGATGGATCAATCTCTATATCTATCTATGTATCTATTGATGGATCAATCTCTATATCTATGTATCTATAGATGGATCAATCTCTATATCTATCCATCTATGTATTTATTGATGGATCGATCTCTATATCTATCTATGCATCTATAAACGGATCAATCTCTATATCTATCCATGTATCTATAAATAGATTGATCTCTATATCTATCTATGTATCTATAGATGCTTCAATCTCTATATCTATGTATCTATGGATGGATCGATCCCTATGTATCTATTGATGGATCAATCTCTACATCTATTAAATGTATCTATGGATGGATCTATCTAATCTATCTATCAATGGATTCATCTCTATATCTATCTATGTATCCATAAATAGATCGATCACTATATGTATATTAAGTTTTCTTCCGCCCTGATGTAAGTCAGACATTGCTGATGGTTTATTTAACTTTTCTCGACGTTCTAACATCCGAGGTCTTTTTTCGACATTCACCGCCGGCGGAGAGATAACTAATGACACGGGTTTTTATGGTAAGGATATACAGCTGCTAAAAATATCATCAGCGGACGTGCTCTGCAGCCCCTGTCATGCTATCATGCTAGCTGGAATAAAACGACCCTTGACAGACCTCCTTCATCTCGGCGTCGGCGACGTAACCTACCGACAGAGCCGATAAATATTAGCCATTGACGGGCGCCCGGGGTCTATGTGTCCGCTACACATCTGCAGCATATAAAGAGATTTTTTGTTTAATTAAAGCCAATACAGGTCATTTTTGTTTTTTTTCTAGCAGACGCTTGGCCAGGGCATGGAACCCAAGCCTTGCCTGGATTTTTTTTTTTCACTGAAAGTTAAGCTATGCAGACAGTGAGCAAAGCCTGACAGTCCCATGTCCCTCCATGCATGTTAACATTCCCTTCCAGCGCAGGGCTTAATGTGCATTGCAAATGGTGCTCATGTGACCCACCGGGGTGCTTTTTTTTATTAAAGCGTTAAATTCACACCATCCCTCCGGCCAGGCGGCGGTTAAGTTCCCAAGCACATCCCTGTCAAAAGTAAGCGTGAAAACATCCGCATTCATGCAGCAGGAGCAGCCCGGATGGTCCTGATCGGAATATTGCAGCTGTCATATATCTTATTTAAAAAAAATAGAAAAGATAAAAAATGATTACAATAAATCAGCGGCGGAGGCCAGCCTCCGGGTAACGTGCTGCTGTTCTTTGAATGCAAAGCAGACGGCCAAGTGAGAGAGGTTAATGGTAAGAAAACCAGAATACTAACAACCTCACTGCCACTGCAGCAGACATAGACAACAGCAGCAGCATGCTTGTCCACAGCCTGAGCACACCCCTTTGGAAGTCAGATCATACAAATCTGAAAAGGTAAGGGACACTGTCTCCTGACAGCTGTGCCTCTTCCAGCTGCTGTGGGACTACAAGTCTCAGCATGCACTGCCTTGGGTGTGCTTGGACTTGTAGTTCCACAACAGCTGCAAGAGCCACAGGCTTGCAAAAAGGGAAGCAACCAGGTGCCTGGGAAGCATTTAAAGCATCCACCCCCCCTCGCAGGCACTTACTGTTGTGAGAGGTTCCTCCAGCCCTTGGCTTTTTTCCTGCCTCTATTGATTTATTTCTCCGGCTTCCATTCACTCGGCTCCATTGATGTGAAGCTGCAACACAGTTACTTTCTTTTTTGCACAGAGTAATGAAAAGATTCGGAATGGGCGTGGCCATGGGGGGGATGACTGACGCTTCGCTAACACAGAGCGGGGCGGGGCCGGACAACTCCCCGGAGGGTTGGATTGGCTGGGGCATCTGGGAGGGGCGTGGCCCGTCAGTCAGTTCGGGGCAGTGTGTACGGATCCAGCGCTGGGTTCTCCAGGACTGGGGGGGGAGCTGATGTCATTGTCAGCCAATCAGAGACGTCACTCACACAGCCAGACTGAGCCGGAGAGAGGCGGCCGCCGCTGTGTGCTATTTAACTGGAGGATGGAGCGCTGCACTCTGTCTATGAGCGATCTGAGGATGGCCATACACAGCGAGCAATACAAGAGCTATCTGTGGCTGGCTGTGCATGTGATGACACATGTGTGATACACTGCCAGCCATACACCGAGGAATAAGAGATCTCATACTAGCCACACGCCGAGGAATAACCGATATCATACTAGCCACACACAGAGGAATCAGAGATCTCATACTAGCCACACACAGAGAAATGAGAGATCTCATACTAGCCACACACAGAGGAATCAGAGATCTCATACTAGCCACACACAGAGAAATAAGAGATCTCATTCTAGCCACACACAGAGGAATAAGAGATCTCATACTAGCCATACACCGAGGAATCAGAGATCTCATACTAGCCACACAGAGAAATAAGAGATCTCATTCTAGCCATACACAGAGGAATAAGAGATCTCATACTAGCCACACACCGAGGAATAAGAGATCTCATACTAGCCACACACAGAGGAATAAGAGATCTCATTCTAGCCACACACAGAGGAATAAGAGATCTCATACTAGCCATACACAGAGGAATCAGAGATCTCATACTAGCCACACAGAGAAATAAGAGATCTCATACTAGCCACACAGAGAAATAAGAGATCTCATACTAACCTACACCGAGGAATAAGAGATATCATACTAGCCATACATCGAGGAATAAGAGATCTCATACTAGCCACACACAGAGGAATGAGAGATCTCATACTAGCCATACACAGATGAATGAGAGATCTCATACTAGCCACACAGAGAAATAAGAGATCTCATACTAGCCACACGCCGAGGAATAAGAGATCGCATACTAGCCATACACCGAGGAATAAGAGATCGCATACTAGCCATACACATAAATAAGAGATCTCATAATAGCCATACACAAAGGAATAAGAGATATCATACTAGCCATATACAGAGAAATAAGAGATATCATACTAGCCAGTTACAGAGAAATAAGAGATCTCATACTAGCCATATACAGAGCAATATGAGAGATCATACTAGCCATATACAGAGAAATAAGAGATATCATACTAGCCAGTTACAGAGAAATAAGAGATATCATACTAGCCATATACAGAACAATCAATCTACATTAATTATAAGAAATAAATAATTCATTAAATCATGAATATGACCATACAGGGAACTATAAATGGGGGATCTGATGCTGACCATACAGGGAATGATAAATAGGCGATCTGACGCTGACCATACCGGGAACTATAAATAGGGGATCTGACGCTGGCTGGTCACAGAACAATACATGATAGATCCAATGCTGGCCGCCTTTGTCATGATAAGTGATTGGCCTAATGTTGGTCATACGCAGGAAAATCCATGAACTAATCCTGGCCAATGACAGAACAATAAATGGAAACAATCGTTTACTCATGAACCAGAATAGAATACAACAGAAATAGGAACGCTGTGTGATGAATACAATTTTACAATCACTCATTGATTTCTGGAAGATACGGTTCTTTTGTATATGCCATCATTATATGGAATGAATATGAGATCTGGGTGACCAGAAATAGATTTGATCGTTTTTAACAATCTTTCAACCAAAAATGATCAATCATTCCAAATCAAAAAAAGGAAAAGGTCAGACTGCAGGAATAGTTCTGACATTTCCCCGGAGTTCAGCTAAAGCCCAAAGATTCAGATTTCTTGTCATAGGATGTAAAATAAAAATCATCTCTGGCTGCACTTCTTTCCTCATCTCTGATAATCCCCCCGAAAATACAGAACACGTGTCCCCAGTGAAAGATTTCCCTTCACCTCCTGTTCTTGTGACACCGGTAATATTTTGGATGACCTCCCATCACTTTCTCTCCTGGTGACAATGATCAGCAAGACAAAGTGAGAGAGTAAATATCTGCAGGGGTAGCACAGGCAGCAATAAAAAAAAACACCAGAGGGTCTAATCCCTTGATTCTCAACTGGTGGGTCGTGACCCAAAAGTGGGTCGCAACCCCGTGTTCAGTGGGTCGCCGCATGCCTTCCACTTTTCTAGGTGAGAGGCTTCTCAGCCTCCCCTAGCGCAGCATTGTCAGTTCTCACACCAAGCAGACATTCAAAATATGCTGCCTGGTGCTGAGTGTCAGATTGAGGTGGGGTGGGGCTATGGCCGCGAGGGAGCTCCATCCATACTTGCATTGCTTACAGCTCCCTCGCATGTCCTGTAGAGGCGCCTGGACCGGAGTGATGTCACATTCTGGCTCCCAGCACCTCTTCAGGAATGCATGGGAGCTGTACAAGCAATGCACATATGGATGGAGCTCCCTCACAACACAGCAGCCCACACTGGACCCCAGGTTAAAGATCTACTCTGGTTCTCGTAAGATAGGGAAACTGAGTGGATCTTTAAAAAAAGAAAGTGTGTTTTTGGAGTGTATAAGTGTGTGAGACAATGTCTATGGTTGTGTGTGAGATTGTGTCTGTAGTTGTGTGTGACTGTCAATGTTTTTGAGGGTCTGTTGACACTAGTACAGTGCGTTAATCGCACAGTCCCATTAATGCACTGTACCACGCAATCGCGCCTACTATGCTTTCTGGTGTGGGAGGTGCGTTGCATTGCCATTCATTTGAATGGCATCCCAAACGCACCTCCAGCTTACAGTTCAATCGCCTGCACCGGAACGCACAGTACTGCAATGCCGTGCATTCCATTGCAGTGCGACGTGGGTCCCGACTTAATGACTGAGGACAAATGTGGGTCCTGAGGTTACACAGGTTGAGAACCACTGGTCTAATCTTTCCTCCTTGTATCCTTAAATAATAATAAAAAAAAGTTATAGATGCACCTTAAAGTGTATTTCCACTTTTGCAGTCAATTGTGAGAAACCCCCCACAATATGTGTATCTGTCCTATTCACAGAATCACACACAATACTGAAAATAATACGAAATATTTCTTACCTTTTAGATGTGTCCATGTAGCCGCCTTTCGAGCTTCTCTCACAGTGACAGGAAACTCTGACTGTCCCCATAGAAAGACCAGGGACAGACTAAACTCCCCCACATTACCATACAATTATTACATAGTATTTATATAGGCCACAGTTTGCGCAGCGCTTTACAATATAGGGAAGACATTACAATCACAAAACAATTCAAGACAAGATGGTAAGGAGGGCCCTGCCCCTGAGGGCTTACAATCTAAACATGCAATCTATACAATGCTTCAAGATCTTTTTTTTAGGACAAAACCAGAAATGAAATATATAAATAGACATTATAAACAGGATAAATAGAAATAGAAATGTTATAGGAGCCATACATAACATAATTCATGGAAAGCAAAAGTCATTGGAATGTCTCTTGCACTTGTAGAGCAATGTCGGAGATCAGCATTACTGACACCTTTTATGATTTAGATGCTGGGAAAATGTCTGCAAACAACAATGAACTATTTACCTATAAAAAGGGAACAATGACTGTGATACATGGACTTCAAAATATAAAAATCAGTTTAACCTCTTGCAGACAGGCCACTGCATGAAAACGGCTGGTCTGCTGCCTTATTGTACCGGGAGGACGTACCTACCTGTACATCCTTCCCTACCTACCTGTGTGCACACCTCCAGCACGCACACAAACCAATGCACCCGCTGTAATTGGACGGATCGAAAAGGCTCTGTGCCTTTTGATTGCTGTGATTGGTTATCACAGCAATCACGTGGGAGTGTTTACATTGCCAAGCCCTCCCCTTCCTCTTACAACAGAGACAGGGGGGAGTACAGGAAGTAATGGATGAAGGAATCAATAACTGATTAGTGAAAACAAGCTGCAGTAGCAGCAAAAAGTTTTAAAAAATCAGACTTGGTTTTTAGCCCTTTCACCTCCTCTCCTCCCTCGCTCCATTCTGCTCTGACCTGTATATTAACCAGGGAGGTGCGGTCAGGGGAGGCAAGTGAGGCAGAGCCTCACCTAGTATTATAAAGGAAAAATCTGACAGCTTTTTCTCCATTCAGATCGGCTTCTAGCAGGTTACACAGCAGGGAAATCCTCCCCGCTGTGTAACCTGTCATGGACGGAGCAGTGCCTGGTAATTAAAGGGAGCTCTGCATCCGGCTTTTGACAGGTAGTTACGTTGCACAGCAGCAGGCTTCCCCACTGCTTGTGTGACCTAACTAGTAAGGCAAGAGCTGTCACAGCTTCTACTCTGTGTTAGAGGCGTAAGCTCTGTGGACAGCTTGGACCAATGGCAAAGCGCCATTGGTCCAAGCTGTCCAATCAAAAAAAAACCCCCACTGAGGCCATCGATCTCAATGCCGTAGCAGCCAGGAGCAAGTAAGGGAAAGGGTAATGTATCTTGTGCACCATTACCAAGTTCCATGTTTTAACCCCCTCAATACCGGCATGTTTCTTCAGTTCCAAAAAACTGTGACAAAAAAGGAGATCACCTTGGAGTATCTACTTTCCAAAAAGGGGTAATTTCAGGGATCTTGGTACTATCCTGGCATTTTCATCGGCTATATTTTATTATAGAAAGTAATGGAACATGTTTTTCCTTTGTAACTTTCCTATATATAATACAACAAAGGAGTTATTAAATACCACCAAAAGAAAGCTCAATCTGTCTGAAATAAATGACATTAAATAATTTGGGTACAGCATTGCATGATCCAGTAATTGTCAGCCAAAC